TGTGTGTGTGTGTGTGTGTGTGTGTGTGTGTGTGTGTGTGTGTGTGTTTGTGTGTGTGTGTTTGTGTGTGTGTTTGTGTGTGTGTGTGTGTGTTTGTGTGTGTGTGTGTGTGTGTCCATGTTAGATCATAATACAAAAATTGTATGTCTTGTGCTGCGGGAAGACCCAGTCAGGGGTCTCACACCCAGGGTGAACCAGGGAACCAGAACAGGTGGGCAAAGAGTCGGCAAGTGACAAACAGACACAAACACAAGAGAGTGTTAAATCTGAGTGTAATTCATAAGTGCAAGCAACAAACTTTTAAACAGAAAAAAAGGAAGTTAAGCATTATACAACAGCCAAAATCAGCTGGGCCACACATGGCCAATTTCAACATCAAACAGAAAATAACTTCATAAGACCCAAGAGGAGTCAGACAGTGATTTCACAAAGATGATATCAGTATTGTCTGAGGTCAGTATATTCTTAGACTTTGGTGTCTCTGTAACCCATTGCCTAACAAACCAACATCCAGCCTTTGAATTGTGTCTCTTAATGCTTTCTTGTTATAGCCTTAAAAGGAGGTACCAGGGTGATTATGACCTAGCTATCTCTCTAGCCAAATCAAAGTCTGATAAAGAACTCTGGCCCCATTAACCTCTACCCATCTATTGCCTTGTCCATAATACACTCCTGCATATAAGAATGAAACAGCTGTTGTTCTATACACCTGTAATGGATGTTCCTAATGAACTCATCTGAACTCTCTCTGTCCTTTCTAATTGTCTTGCTTTTAGCTGCTTCGTTAAAACCTTCTCCTTTTCTAAACTCTCCAACATTATTTCCTATTGCTATAATTCATAGCCTCTTATGTAGGCAAATCTGGAGTGTCCAATCTGATAGACCCTTCAATCCTACCCTGTTCTCCAAACTGAATATTTCTTAAAAAGATTAGTAATACAAGATATGTGGCACAGAACCCTCCCCTGGTAATAGCAAGAACAAATCTGGAACACATCCCTTTCAGGGGCTGCCAGGGCTCTCCAGGAGACAGGCTCCCTTTGAAGCACTCGCCTCAGGAGTCAGCATCCAAGATTTACTCTTGTCACACAGACTTCACTGGAGGTGGAGTGGCAGTCTTGGTATTCATTCTTTATTACAAAATGTTAATACCTTTTTTTAAGTAAGAGCCTATAAAGCAGTGGTTCTCAACCTGTGGGTAGCGACTCCAGTAGTGATTGATTGTTAGATGTTTACATTACCATTCGTAACAGCAGCAAAATTACAGTTATGAAGTAGCAACAAAATAATTTTATGGTTAGGATCACCACATACGAGGAACTGTACTAAAGGGTAAGATGCTTGAGAACAACTGTTACTAAGTGTCTTCACAAAGTTAAGCATGAAATTTTAGACATGTAGGAAAATTATATTAATTTTCGCTGTGATAAAATACCATGATAAAACAACTTATAAGAGGAAGATTTTATTTAAGCATATGGTTCCAGGCATGCAACAGGCATGCATATTGGTTGGAGCAGAAAGTCGAAACATGAAGCAGAGAGAAAAAAAAAACTGGAAGTAGGAAAATGCCATATACTTTCAAAACCTGCCCTTGATGGAATAGTTCCTCTAGCAAGTCAGCCTGTACTAAACATCCTCTGTGTAGCAGCACCAATTGGGAACCACATGTTCAAACTCCTCGAACTATATGGGACATTTCTCATTCAAATCACCAAGACCACAAAATGTTCAATAAATAGCATTGTCCATTTATTGGTTTGCTCATTGTCTGCCAGCATTACTGAGTGCCCTTTCTGTCCTTTTCTCCCTTTCATCATAATTAAGTCTACAGTTA